ACATATACAGTATTGACTCCAGCCCAGGGGCCCCCATCCTGACTCCAGCCCAGGGGCCCCCATCCTGACTCCAGCCCAGGGGCCCCCATCCTGACTCCAGCCCAGGGGCCCCCATCCTCCTAAATCCGGCCATGCGTGCATGCATGGGTTTTGTCCTGGTACTCTGGTTTCCCGACCAAAAACATGCATGTTAGGCTGATTGGTACTAAATTGTCCCTAGGTGTGAGTGAGAGAGTGAATGGTTTGTCTCGTTTGTCTCTAAGTGTCCCTGTGATGGACTGAGACTGATCCAGGGTGTTCCCCGCCTTCCACACAGCAACTGCTGGATATGGGCACCAGCAATGACCCCTCAAGACCCGAAAAGGAAGAAGTGAATAAAAGAAAATGGATGGATGGATCATTGGAAAATAAATTATACTGCAAGTACTAAATGAGGGGCTAAACGTTCTAGTACAGGGGTCTGCAACCTGTGGCTCTGGGGCCACATGTGGCTCATTAGTCCCTCATCTGCAGCTCTATGAAGCTTTCACCAAAACTTACAGGAAAGTTAATTGTTCTGGTTTTTATACCTACAACAAAAAAGGCTAGTAATGAGTAGTTAGAGCAGTTGTCCTCCAATGCAAGAGTTGGGGGTTCGACTCCACCTGCAGTCACATGCCAAAGTGTCCCTGGGCAAGACAATGAACCCCTCATTGCCTCCAATGTGTGTCCCATCAGTGTATGAATGTGATCCAAAGCACTGATTATTCTATGTATAGATCAGAGGTGCCCAAAGTGGTGTCCGCGGGCCAAAGTTGGCCCGCCAAGCCATTTGGGTTAGCCCGCCAAGCTGTCCTCGTTACTATGTTAAAACTTCCTTTGACAAATCAATGTGTTTTCACTCAGTCATTCCACCCATTGATTCAAGGATTCAAGGTTCTTTATTTGTCGTTCTACCACATGTACGTCGTTCCACTACATGTGGTACATGTGGTGGAATGAAACTATGTATACTGGGTACAAGTTGACGTTAATGTTAGAGGCCCATTGACTACCGTACCGTCTTGCATATCCTCCGAACCATAATTATGGACTCATTTTGATCAGTTGGTTCCTCAACTCAATTTACAACATTTCTTTGAAGAGAAGACAGGCTTTAGGCGAGTCGAATCGCCCTGTTGGCACGCACGCAGCTGGATATCTCATCGACTGGAAGACTTGATGATGTGTCTATCTCTGCTGCCATCTGTGGATTTTAAGGACTCATATTTAAATTGGATTTACGATAACTGGTTTCTGCTTTTTGGATTTGGCTGATTGCTGTTTTTTCTACAATCAAGGAAGTCGTCGGCAGCAAATTTGGACTCCATCACGCTGCTTGCCTTTATGATGGCTTGGTTCGTGTCTCGAGTACCCGGACTCAAATGCCTTGGGTTGAATGGATCAGATCTTGGGGATTTTACTCAGTCACGTTCCATCGGTGTGGCCATGTATTTTGGACACTTCGGAACCAAGTTGACCAACACAGACTCGAGGTAGATGTTGTTAAGTTCTGCCTGTCCCCAAAACAACTGTGTGTTTATCTCTCCATTGGTTGGCCTTGAAGGCCATCTTATCTGAATTCGCCTGGAGTACATGTGATCTGACGCTCACCACCCCCTCCCTGAAGAATTTCCAACTGATAACCAGATGAAACCAGCTGAATAAACTTTGTGTCATCATTTCAGGACTCTTGGATTCTCATAGACGTTATTCTTGGCCAGTCCTCGACATCCCTCGAGAATGTTTATGGATCTCACCGGAGGACATTGACTGATTTTCCATCCTTATCAGAACTCTTACAGTGACCTCGAGAGAGAGCATCTATGAACATGCTGACCGCTCTCAGCTCCCCCCCCCCCCCCCC